CAATCACCTAACCGAATGGTTCTAAATGGCCTATTATTATTAAGCTATGCTTACCATTGCTTTTGTCTAGCACAGTGATGATTTATGTTGCTTAAAACAAATTAATTTTTTGTTGTGCTTTTTTTCAATGACCAACATTTAAAGTGCATCCTGTGTTTGACCATACATAAGAGTAAAACATATTTCTGCACAGGACTTCCAACATGCTTCTATGTTGTCCTTTTTTCCCTTTCCTTTGTCTTTGACCTACTTCTAAATTTCCTGCTGTTTCTCAGCCACCAAGCTGGTCTGCTGTCTTCATACTAGGCCCCAAGATAAAAGTGGCATTTCTTACTATCCCTTTCTTTTGCTTAAAACACATATGGACACACACACGTACACACACATGGCAACCAGCCAACTGCTGCGCTTGAGTTTGCGTTAGAAACAGGGACCCAATCAGATCTAAAATGAAATAGGTTACATATTGCTATTTGACCTGTTTGTCTGTCATGGATGTCATTAACTTCATACCCGCTAAGCATCTTTGTGTGGCAGAAACAGTCCCAGTCAATCCTCTGCCATCCAACCTTTTCAGCTGCTTTTAAAATGTTCCAGTTTCTCTCTCTTTCCTTCACTTTCTCCCTTTGCCCTGATCCTACTTCAGTTGCTGCAAACTGAGTTCAAAAGGCAAAAGAAGTTTGCACTCAATTAATTCAGCACAAAAGAGGGAGACGTTTTGTCATTCCCAGTAGACTGACTAATTTAGATATCTTTTCTTTAGGCTTTCCTAAGCTCCAGGTTTTCTCTGTTTTGTGTGTCCTTTCAAATTAATAACTTTTGCACTATTGTAGCCTACCCACATCCTTTTTCTCACACACTGATGTTGTCTGGACACAAGTCCCAGTTCTCATCTGAAATGTTGGAGGGTATGCAACTGATCACTCTTGATGATCCAGGAAACCTAAGCAGCCTTGAATATTAAGGTATGTGAGTAGGTTTGGATAAATTAAAATGCAGAAATGTTTTTTGCATCACGAGTTTTGACAGACATTTGCAGTTGCATGATTCTGGCAACTTTGAACATAATCATTCTATAGGAGTACCAAAAAACAATATTGTAAAATTTATATTTCAACAAAAGTAAGAAGTAAAAGTATGCCATTGAACAATCTAAGCAAGATGAAAATAACAGACTATTTTAATTTTTAGTTGTAACTAAAAGTCCCACTGAATGAGTGGGACTTTTATACATGTTGATTCCCATCGATTCAGTGGGTCAACTGTAACTAGATACAGCATCAAAAACCACCACCACTGAACTCTGTATGGTTACTGAGATAATGAATGTGCAATGCTTTGAACACAATCTCTGTATCCATGCAACAACCCTACAAGGTAGTCCCTTAGTAACCTCATGTAGCAAAGAGGAAACGAAGAGTGGCTCACCTAATGGCAGACTTATGATTTCATAGCAGAGTAAGGTGTGCGGGGGGAATCTAGTTTAGGATTCATAGTTAATCCTTCTGACATTTTTATGTATGCCTAAGCAAAGTTAACTCTACCCACATTATCTGTCCTGTCATTAGAAAAATGTGAGAATATCTGTTCTGTGTAATTGCCCCTTTTGAGGATTGCTGAGGCTCAACTGGAATTGCACAACTCTCATACATAAGAAAGCTGACAAACTAGTTGTTTTTGAAGAACAAGAGAATGACATGACAGACTCCCTCTAGGGCAGTAATCTCATTTGTTTGCTTTTACAATTCTCTGTTAGTTCATATGGTCACACCCCCTACAGACAGGAATAAGTAACCTAGTACCCTCCAGAAGTTTTGGACACTAACTCCCAGTTGCCTCTGCCAGCAGGACCAGTGATGATGGATCGGGTATTATGAGACCTGTGGTGTTAAACAACCAGAGCACACCAGCCTGTCCATGTGTGCTACAAGCTTTGTGTGTTGTTGTTTTTTTACCTCCATTTCTGAGTACCTGCTTTCATTTCACTATATTCCTTGGACCGAGCTCAAAAAATTCTCAGCAACAATGAGCTAAAAATTGGAATCACTGCACAAAAATGATGTGATTGTTCAATCAGCTCTGCAATAATTAGTTAGCTTTAACTGCATTAAATAAAACTGCACCCAAGGATATGACCAAGGGGTCAGAATATAAGAATTTGTTATTCCCTTCCAGATGTTCAAAAGAATACGTGAAATGACTAATAAACTTTAAGTCAACCTCAACTAAGTTGTGCATGACTAACCATGTAAGCACACAAAATTATGTAATGCTTATTAAACATCAACCAGATTTGTTTTCATTCGCTTTACACACTTATTTATACAATGTGCAAAAACATTCAGTTGAAGAACATAAACATAACTGGTGCTAGCTCATTCATACTGAATGTTAATATGATACAAAGGAATCTTAGAGAAGAAGAGGCAACTAACTATAAGACTCCAAGAAGGCCTGCATGTGGTTATTTAAGGCAGCTCCATACTTACATGAGACTCAGATGTTGTGGATACACTACTTTTACACTGCATTAAAGAACAACAAAAATGCAGAAAGGATTGGGGCAATTCCTATGAAGAAAGCCTACAACCTTTGTTTAGTTTATGGGAAAGATTAAAATGATGAAATATAACAGGTATGTAGAATTATACACAGTAGACAAAATAAGACAGAAATATTTTTTTCTTTCTTTGTAATACTTGAACCTGACCCTCTCATAATGCAGTGGGCCCACCATATCCATGGATTCAACCATCCATGGCTTGAAAATATTATGTGTGTGTGCAAAAACACACACCTGGATTTTGTCCTTTTATATAGGGGACACAATTTTACTACACCATTGTATTTAATGAAAATTGAACATGCATGGATTTTGGTATCCAATAACCAAATCCCAGTAGATACCAATGGCCCACTTTACTAGATCCTCAAATTATCTACTACATGGAGCCTACACGGAGGAAATCCTAGATAGATAAAGGACGTAGTTCTTCCCATAACACAAGTAGGTTTATACCCTCCAATATTTCATCGATAAAAACCAAAATGTGTGGCCAAGCAACATCACAGTGTGGTCATTATGGCAAAAGTTAGGAGGCTTCAGCAGTTTGCTTTTTTTCCTCAGCCTACTGAGGCCTCATTCCCAAATACATTTAATTCGGTTTGCAATTCGCCTTCGTGTTGGTGTGTTAATTCCAAAAGGCCTGTCGTTCCCTTGTAATCACTTCTTTTTTGGCACGATTGTCATTCCCACTAGTTTGCACTGCTTCAAAATGCACGTCAATCATCTATGTGTCATTGGTGATGCAAGCAGCAACACTGTGAGGACAGGGCTGTTGCAGGCACTGAGCGGGGCAACTTTAGCAAGATGCTCAAAAGTACACCATTTCCCCTTTAAACAGCCCAGTTTGGGAACTATTTTTCTTTTTAAAATGATAGATTTTATCCATTGGTATTGCAACTACTTGTTTCACTGAGATGCCATTTGCCCAATTGCCCAGTGTGCTGGCAAGTAGTCACACAAGCACAAAGCCAGTGCGCCAGCAAGGTCACACAAGCACAAAGCCAGCGCTGGGGGATGGTGGTGGCAGATCTCCCAAAAACTGAGTCGGGATGGTAAACACCCCTCTGCCATTAGACCCTCCCCTCTAGAATGATCTGATTCTGATCCGTTGTTCCAACTTGTTGAACACACTTCGGAATCTATTCTTTTCAAAAGAACCGCCAAAGAACTAATGTCAGGAAACAGTGGTTTTTGTGGGGGTGTTTTGGCCTCGCTTCATCGCAGTTGCAACTGAGCTCAATAGGATCAGAACCCAGTCTGCAATTTTCTCTAAATCAAGGTGGGAACGAGGCCTTCAAAGACAAAAGAACAAGACTCCATCCCATTGTTCGCCTTCCTCAAAAAGTTGAGTGCAAAGTACTTTTGCATTTTGAACCCAGTTTGTATAATGATGAGGGGGGAAATGGGAGAATAAAGAGAGCAAATCTGGGACATTTGAAATGCTTCTGAAAAAGTGGGACAACAGAGAATGAATTGCAACTGTCACTAACAAACCAGGACAGTAGGAGAATATGGAAGATATAGTAGTGGCTAATGACATGGATAGCTTGATGAGGGAATTACATAAATTAATGTAGGCTAGGGACATTAAAACAGCCCTGTCCTGTTTTTACTATACATAAGTCAGGATAGCTATACATCAGGTCTAGGTCAGGGGCACTAAGCCTCAGGATATTGACTGTAGTAGAATTCAAGATGGAGGGTACATTTATACTCATGTCCTGCTAGCTGGCTTCCCATAGGCAAGTGGTTGGCCTTTGTATGAAAAGAATTGTGTAGATAGGCTTTTACTCTGTTACAGTATGGCTCTTCTTAAACTTTTTTGTTTGTTTGGTAAAAGAGGTTCCAATGGGTAACTTTCTAAATGTGAGGGTTCTTCTAATCCCGGTGAATGGACATACAAACAAAATAGAGAACTCTGTAGTTTAGACAGTACTTCTATTGAGTTTGCCTCCCTGGGGTATTATCTGAAGACTGAGGGGGAGGCGCTACCTTTTCCAGATGTTGTTCAAGGGTCTGAATCCAAGCCCCAGAAGAGATGGCTTCTCCAAGCTAGCTGACAGAATGAATACATATACTTTAGTAGATAGTTTAAAATGCAAATGGTAATTTTGATGATTATATTTATCAGTTAAATATTCCATATCATACCAGAATCAGCAAGAAAAAAAGAAAAAGAAAAAAGAACCATCTAAATACATGAAATGCTGGATTTAATGATCATTCATGTTAAAGGGCATTCTGCAGAAGCTGGAAAGGAACACAGCATTTCTAGGCAGTAAAATACCAAGCAAGTGAAATAACATGGTGTCTTGAAGTTTTCTCATTTATTTGTTGTTGTGAGCCTTAAAGTAATTCCTGACTTATGATAACTCTAAGGACCAGGGTTTTCTGGGGCTGAAAGTGTGAGACAACGTCACCCAGAGGATTTTCATGGCTGAGCGGAGAATTGAACCCTGGGCTCCAGGGTCATAGCCTAATGCTCAAACCACTACACCATGTTGGCTCTCATTTATAGAGCGGTCATAAATCGAAACTGAACTGATGACAATTAACAACAAATTGGTAGCAAAAACGATTTCCTAGATTAATAGTGTTACAATGTAACCAGAATACAGTCCCTGGCCTTCCACAGTTGCCCAATCTGCTTTATGTAAAGAACTAATGGAATCCCCTTCTGTGTAGACCAGGGATGGCAAAAATATTATCAATGAGCTACTTTTTTTTTTTGAGCTCACTATTTTTTTGCTAAAAAAAAAAAAAAAATCCAAGGAGGGGCATTTGGACCAACTGGGGGAATGGGATGGAAGATCTCCGAAGTCCTATGGAAAGCCAGTATAGCCCTCTAGTCTCCAGCAGTCATCCCCAAACTGATAACAAGTGCCACTAAACAAAATAGACTCTAATTCCAAGTAAACATGCACCAAATTGTACAATTAGTTCCATTTATTTCAAAAGATAAGTTACATAAATGATTAAATCTCTTTGTGGATTAATTTAAGGATACTACAGTTGGGCTCATTCAGCCCAAATAAATTTTCATTTGTTCTACACTTATGCCTGGTTAGAACATAAATAAACCTATATATCACATTTCATTATTATTCTCTGTGCTGAAAGGCATTCAAGGCAGCAAACAGCTTAACTTTCTGTAGCTTATCATAACTTTATTTCATATGATATATTCCTCTTATATATTCATATCTTCATCCAAAGTACAAAGGTAGACTTCAATTGTACTTAAGTCCCCATTTAATTTTTATGATAAATTTATTTTCAGTGTAGTGTTGCTGAGAGTAGGAGTCTGCCAACTGATGCCAGTCCACTGGTTCGTGGCATGTTTCCAAGAAAATATACTAACACAATAAGAATACTGTATAAATATGAACCCAGCCTCTGGAACACTGAGAGAAAAAATGCTGATCTCCCATACCAGATAGCTTGAGATGCACTTTGTTACTGCTGAATTTTATTTCAGCCAAAATACTGTTTTTAATGAACCCATTTGCATATTTGTAGATAGCAATTTCCCTCCTAACATATTTGGTTTTCTTCCCTTTTTTGTGGTATATGGACACACCTGTTTAAAAAAAAATATGAAAGCCTGTAAAAGGTTTCCTTGAAATATTTGCAGTTCCTTTTCATGCTACTAGAATCTGTCCAACAAAAGCAGGATTTCTGTCCCTCATTAAAGCTGTGATAAGTGAAACAGCCGAATCTAGAGTCTCTTGAAGCTCCAAATTGTCCTGAAAGATAGGAGAAAAAACAGTCATGACTTACTTTAAATTCTACAAAGTTCAATTCAAAACACACCTGGTGAAGAGAAATGGTAGCATATAGGATGGGCCCAAAGCTCTGTGAAGAAGCACATGCCTTGCTTGATGATAGTCACAGGCTTGGTATCTGAAATCTACAGGGTTGTTTGTTGTTTTTTAAACATCAAATAGCAAGGTAAGGACATAAATTTTCATAACGTTTTGAACAATCTCTGCCAGCTGGAGTAGACATTGCTGCTCCAGTGGCCAGAACACCTTTATGTCACCAGCATCTTTTCTATTTTTTTTATTTTTTATAAATTTGACTTTCAGATGTTCACAGATTTGGATAAACAAAACATTTACACATGTTGTAAACTATCAAACGCATTGGGATAGGAAAAGAAATAAGCAGCAGAGATCTTGTTCTTGTCCTACAACCATTATTGCACATTATTGACCACCCACTGCTCCTCTTGTAGCTTTGGGACCCTAATTATATCATGCTTATGGATCATGTAAAAATAATTCTTTTATTCATTAGCAAAACCTGTAACAGCAGCAACAACAAAAAGCCAATGGTCTTGGTAATTACTCCTTCCATGCTGCACTTCCAAAAACAGACCATTCTGTCAAATTGCTAGTTCAATGAATCCAGGTTAATTAAAACCTTGTTGAATCTTTATGGCTTGTAATTTTATTGTTATTTAAATGGATGATTTATAAGTCTTTTATACCAAAAAGAAAAGATCCACAACATTTACCACACCATGTGGATAGATTTTGGAAAAGAATAGTCTGGAATGCTGCCAGTCATACAATCTCTCCACTCATATTGCAGAAGTTTCATTCTACAAGATGACCTGCATCCAGATAGATTCACACATGCAATTACTCTATCTAAGCAGTTTCTCACTATGGTTTAGATACAATTTTTAGTTCCAAATAGAGCAGATCCACTGAACCAAAACACCTCCTCCTATGTTATAGAAAAGCAGTTTGAGGTTTCCCAATTCTCAGGGGGAGGGATATCTATTCAAATCATTTACAATATCATTACAGAAGGCAAAAAAAAGAGTTAAGAAAACATACAAAATTACATTAAAGATGTAAGTAAAGCCACAGTGAAAACTACTTTCCATAACCATGTGCTTCTTTCCCTTTCTGATCAACATATGAATGAAGCTGCATATACATATATTATATTAAATACATATATTTAAAAACTGCTCTGAATGATGCACTCAGTTCTAATTCTTAGAAAAGATTCAGAGAACAGATGCTGAAGGATGATGAAGGGTTTAGAAGACAGATCCCACAAGAAAAAGGAAATGGAACTGGTTATAATTTAACTCATATAAAAGAAGAGGGGAAATATATTAATATTTAAGTAGAAATTTCTAAAAAATAAAAAAAGAGAGGGTGCAACAAGTATTCATTTTAACCATGGAAGCTTGGAAAGGAACTATGGCATTCAGTGGGAGGAAGATGTAAGTTAAGCACCAGGACAAACTAACACAAAACAGTTTAACAGGACAACAAGCTACAAAAGGAAGTAACTTAAGGGGGATGTAGATGGGCGGCCCTGGGCCATCCAGGAAGCAGAGGATCAAGGCTGAGGCTGCCGGGCGCCTCAGCCCCGATCCTCCCTTTTGTTGCCTTTGAAAGGAGTGGCAAAATGCTCTTTTCAGAGCCGTCAAAAAGGGTGCCCTAAGAGCTGGAAGGATGTCCTGATGCCGCGCGCCATGCATAATGGCGTGTGGCATCAGGACGTCTTCAGGGAGGGGTTGAGGCGCCCAGTGTGCAGCTGTACCTCCAAATCCCTGTCTCAAGGCCAGCCCAAAGGGCCTGTCTGTAGAGGCCTATAGAGATTTTAAAATAATGGTTTGGGGGATGGAGACATGAGAAGAAAAGAGTGTCCCACGCTTTTTGTTTTTTCATTCTACATCTCATCTAAAATAGCTCACACAAGCCATCCACCTCTGTCACAGGGATGTGTGCAAGCTGAATGAGAAACATGTATAACTTCCATGAGCCTGGGGAAAGTGACTCAAAAGTTCTGTTTTGGATTAAATTAAAATGAAAGGGAACAATAAGCATAAAATTATCTCTCCCGCTTTTCTATTCAAAGGTAAGATTTGTCTTGTCAGCACCCAGCTACCTCATTTTAGTAGTGGATCAGAACTAGTTAAGTCTTTGCAGGGAGGAGAAACCAAGAGGTCAAAAAAGATCACTAACAAGATTTTAAGGTGTGGATCTAGAAGGTAAAGGTTGCAACACTGAGCATGAACTGGAAAGCTACAAGACAGTTGGCCTGAAACTTCATCAGTCTGCCAGAGGGGAGAATATATATGTTGCTTTCAGAGGATACATATGTCCCAGGGGAAAGATGCTAAAATAAAAAGACACCCAACACGGGTGGGATTTCATGAAGAAGAGGGAACTACTAATCTGCTTTGTGGGTTTTTTTAAATGTTCAATTGTAAATCTGCCTTTGACTTTCTTCATTGACTATTATTAGTATTAGTATTTCCTTTCATATTTTATTTAAAAGTAATCACTCTCAGTCTTTGCTATTTTCTGCTACTAGTATGATATCATTTGAATAAATTAAATTGTTGATGTCCCTTCCTCTAATTTTTCAAACCTCCTTCCTCCAAGCCATGTCACTATAGAAAACAATGGGACTTGAAGTCCCAGGTTTTTTGTTATCTGTGGGGGGTGGGTGGGAGGAATCTGGAATGGATCCACTGCGGATAAGAAAGGACAACCGTACTACTTTTCATGCAGGACATGATCTTTGCAACATTCTCCTGTACTAAAAAGCATAAATAGAGCTATAGTGCATAGAATGACATGTAGTGGCTTGAGTGTTATACTAGACTCTGGGAGACAAGGGTTCAAATCCCCATTCAGCCACAGAAACCGACTGAGTGACTTTGGGTAAGGCCCAATCTATCAGCTTCTCAACTTCGCAGTCTCTCATGAAGACAATAGCAAACCCCTTCTGAATATACCTTGCCAAGAAAATCCTATGTTAGGTTTGCCTTAGGGTCACCATAAATTACAAATGACTTGAATGCATACAACAGCAACGGACAGCACATACAGACAACAATGCACATAATGGGTTTTATAACTATACTGATGGAGGATGAAGCACTTAACTATGCACCGACAATCAACTGATTTCAATGACAGTTATTATTATTTATTATTATTATATTTATTTATATCCCACCCTTCTCCCAGGACTGGGACTCAGGGTGGCTTACAACATTTAAAACAACAACAACACACAATACAATTAAAAACATACAAAAATACATAAAAATAGAATTAAACTACTACAATAAAACAAAATTAAAAAGATAAAAATGTTTAAAATACATTAAAACAACATAGTATCTCAGGCTGTTCATTAAAAGTTTTCTGTTCTGAATGCCTGTTTGGAAATGGAAGGTTTTCTCCTGTCGGCGGAAGGCCATCAAGGAAGGGGCCATTCTGGTCTCCCTGAGAAGGGAGTTCCAGAGTGCAGGGGCAGCCATGGAAAAGGACCTCTCTTGTGTCTTCACTAATTGTGCTTGTGATGCTGGTGGGATGGAAAGAAGGGCCGTCCCTAAGGATCTCAGAGCCTCGCCTGGCTCATAGAGGGAGATATGGTCTGCCAAGTAGCCTGGACCTGACCTCTTTACAAGTCATCCACCACACCAAGATCATCATCACCCCACCCAGCACAGAAAACAAGGTC